CGTAAACAAACAGGGACTACCGCACTTCTCCGCATGCAAGGATGGGTGGGGGTGGATCTCGGTATACGTGAAATATTACAAACCTATATATTATTATTTGTAACCTTTTTCAGCCTGTATCTCCGAAACTATTTGAGTCCGGCCCTTATATATATATATATGAAATGACTCGGGAAGACATCCCCAACAACATATTTAAAAATCAAGCGAATCGGAGAGGAAGTCGCTTTTATGCACAATTACCAAGAAAAGAAAAGAAAAGAAAGGGGATTGTATATAAGGGGATGAGCGTAGCTACTAGAGTACGGGCATGTCTCGGTTTGACCTAGGTATGCCAGGTGGTCTGCGGACAATCCTGACTCGGGTGGGGAGGGCCTCGATCTTCACCACACATAGTCTTGTCCTGGCAGGGGCCCGGCCAGGGCACTGGACCTCGTGTCCTAGCGGGGGCTTCTTCAGCTCGGGTGCCGGTGGTGGTCGGGGTGGCACGGCAACCCTTGCTGTGCCTTGGCGCTGGGGTAATCGGTAGCGCGGTGCCCACGCCCTGACAGGGCAAGGATCCGGTGGCTTAAATTGTGGCCGGGGATGTGGGTGTCCGGCGGGAAGCGATGGTTTGGTGGAAGGAGAGAGGGGAGGTGTGAGTGCCTGGCTCCGGGCCTGTGAATCAGGCGGAGGGAGCGGGAGTGCGGGTTTTGGAGGCTCTAGAGGCCTGTCAAAAATCCTGGGGTCAAAGACCCCAGGAGTTGCGTACGCTCTCGTTAGTCTGCGGAGCTGGACTAAGCGTCAGCTCTTCGCGATCTGCCCATTTCTGGGAGTGCCTGCGGGAAGCATTTCGAATTAGCTGAGTTACAAAGCGGGGGAAGCGTTGCATGCTGTTAGTCATGATTGTAACTAATGCTAACTTATTGCTAATTAATATAATCCCTTAAATAGGCACTCAGAGAAAGGTAATAGCTTCAAAGTCACGGAGGGTGAAGTGAAATTGAAACTTCAGACGTTGTCTTTTTGTAGAATGCTCAGATGGATACTTCGATTATAGAAATCGATTTGATTGCCGTCATCACTGCATTCTTGGCAACTTCTGATTAATATAATAGTAGTAGGGGACCCGAGAGTGGATAAATTGATCGTGGTTAACTTTACTCTGAAAGTGAAAGGAATAAATGGCAAAAGAGAGACTGGTTTTAACTACTTATTAAACCAGAAGTAATAACTGAAGTTAATGCAAATTAGAAAACGTAAAACCGGTAAATCTTCGCTGTGTGCCAATTTTTAGAGTAAGATTCTGTTTGTTCGAGGGGTCTCTGTGAAATTTGCCCCGAGAACGAGCGGGAACAGAGGTCGGTTAAGCCGGAAAAGGTCCCCCTTTCTTTTGCGGGGTTCAGACCTGGTGATTGGTGTCGACGACGTGGAGGAGATTGGTGAGGACTGGCTGCTCAATGCCAGTTCGAGGAAGGGTGATGTTTTCCCGACGGAGGAACGCCGTTACGAAGGCGCGTAACCGACGGAGGAGAATCGGAGGAACGCCGTTATAGGCGCGCAACCGAAGGTGGAAAATCGGAAGAACGCCGCTGAAGGCGCGCAACCGGAGGCGGAAGTTCGGAAGAACGCCGCTGCAGGCGCGCAACCGGAGGCGGAAGCTCGGAAGAACGCCGCTGAAGGCGCGCAACCGGAGGTGGAAATCGGAAGAACGCCGATGAAGGCGCGCAACTGGAGGCGGAAGATCGGAGGAACGCCGTTGAAGGCGCGCAACCGAAGGCGGAGGATCGGAGGAACGCCGTTGAAGGCGCGCAACCGAAGAAGGAAGATCGGAGGAACGCCAGTATAAAGGCACGCAACCGAAGGTGGGAATAAGAAACGAAAAGTAGAGAGACAGAAGAGAGAAAGAGACAGGAATGGAGGTAGAGGGAGAGAGAAAGAAATAGAGATAGAGATGAGCGTCGTCGTCGAGGAGGTGGTTTCCTGGTGGTCGTTACCGTGGGCCACAGAGATTTTGCACGCGCGGTAGAATCTCGATCTAACGGGATGCCGACTTAGCCTATGGTGACCGGTGCCC